TGTTCAGGAGAAGGGCCTGAGAAGGGTACTAAATATCTGAAGAGAACTATAACCTGTTTCAGATTAACTGATTCTTTATTATCTGATCATTCAGTTGAATAGAATTCACAATTTTGGCTCTTCTTCATTTGCCTTAGACATGTGAAGTGCTAACCTAATCAATGAATGCAACTTATTTTATTGGTTACTTAGTTTGTTATTGGCTACTACAAATCAAGAAGGGAAAAGACAAGACAGGCTTGCATAATTAGACATTTGAATTCAGCGTTCTGAAAAATCCCCTTACTTCGGTGCTGCACAGCACCACTAACTCATAAAACACTAAAAAAGCCAGTATAGCACGCAACAGCTGTACTGCATAATTACTTGGCCCAATTGCAGTAGTTTTAAAACACTGGTGTATCTGTTGCAGGCCACCATACATTATCATCTCATTTTCAATAAAAAGTCTGGGATGTTTCAGATGAGCTTCAATGGAATTAGAATCATGTGTGCTTTGAAATATTTATGCTTGCCTTGAGATGGAAGGATAATTCCTGCTTCCAACCCCCACACACAAATAACAGATTTAATAACGCCAGATCGTCCAACTCCTCCATACCTACAGCAGGTAGAAATGAAGTTCTGATCTGGAATACACATATTTTCATAGGTTGTAGAACTTATATTTTATGTCATTTTGTGAGGTCAATAATAAAATATAAATGTCACAGGCTGAAAGACGCCAAGAGAAATATGGTTTGGCAGCATGGAGCTGCTTAGGGATACATAAATAATAAGTCAATAAGTAAATAAATAATAGACAAAGGCCTATTTTATCTTCCATTTGAAGATCTCAAAGAATTTACAATCACTGATTAAGACTTGTAATATCCCATCAGAAGCACATAAGTAGTAATAGCCCCTTCTTAGATACAGGAAAATTTGCATCACTCTAGGCATGGTTTTCAAAAGCAATGACTTCATGATTTTTATTAAGCGTTTCTGAAAATCATGACTGAAGGGGCTTGTCCATGATCACTTGCCCCTTTTAGAGGCAAAAAGGGAAAACAGCAACCTGCTATGCTACCTCATGTCCTTTAACTGATTAAAAATGTTTGTGAGGTTCCATATATTTGGAAACATGGTTGTGTTCTGCACTAAGAACTTGTTTGAAAGGCCATTTTTGCATACACCAGAGTTGGTGACCAGAACACAGCTGTCGGAGTAATGGTCTGTATCTGGGCCAGCAGTTTTTAGACTTTAGCATTTAATTCCCTCTCTCTAGTATAAGGCAGGCACACTTGTAATGTTGAGTGGTTTAATAGTGGTAGATTCTTCCTCTTATCAAACAGTCCTTCATTTTGCTGCTTCAGAAATTTGGTATTTCCCAGTCAGAGACTGCAGAAACAAACCTTTTGGAGATCCTTACTCCATTCGTTATTTCTTATGCTAATCCATCTACTCTTGAGAAAACGAACCCTCCACGTCAGTATGTGGCACAGACTGAGGACTGATGCATATTTGGTCTTGTTTCCTTCCCCCAGTCTTTCCCATGATCAGCAGAAAGCCCTTTGAGGCTGTGCTGAGGAGTTGGCCAAGACTCCAGAGAGGAACCACTTTCTCCTTTTTGTGACGCTTTACCTTCCTGAATTATTGTTCATCATTTCTACATTCATTTTTCTTCTCTCCCTCTTTTGGAAGATCACTGGTAGAAACTTCCAGTTTCTACCCTGACATGCTGAGGAGGTCAAGGCAACAGAGAAAGACCCACTACTTAAATGCCTATGAGTATTTCTAATAACCATAACACATCTCTGATATAGCAAATTAAATTATTAAGTGAAGAGTCATACCTTGGAAAAGCTAAATACAATGTCATCTCAGGCCTAGCTTTGAATTCCCACAGGTTCCCTGGGTACAATTTTTTATTCCTTCTCCTTTGATTGAAGTGGCATTTTTAGCTCCTTTTCACCCAGCAGAGGAAAAGGAACGGATTTGTTCCCAGATGTGTACAAAGGACAATGCAGTTACATAACAATTTCAAGTAGTATTAACAGAGCTGGTGCTAAAATGAATTTTTTTTTGTAAATGTTTGAAAAAATCCCGATCTATTTTCTACTTAATTAGATGTTTGCCACATAAATTTTCATTTCTTACTCTTATCTTTGTCATTCATCTTCCATTTGACATACAAGGAAGGGGGAAATTATAAAAGGAGATGTGAAGAAAGAGAGGAAGAATAAGTTTTATATCAAAAAAGGACAGACACGTTGTATGCTAATGAAAATTTTGTTGTAGTCATCAAAATGCTTACCACCAACTTTAGTCGAACCATGCCAAAATATTTTGACAAGCTCTAAAATGACTGTTGCTTGCTGGAGAAGGTGGTGATACATTCATACCTGTAAAGTAGCTATGACGTAAGCGCCATTAAAGGAGTTAGACCTCAGGGGTTGGTGTAAGTGAGATCGGAGGCTGATACTTCAGGTGGAATTCACCTCACTGAAGGTGCATGCATAGACTGGAGGTACCTACCTCGGAGCTTGTACCAGTGGGCTCCCTTCACGTCCACTGGTGAGCCAGTCAGTGTGGTCAGTGAAGTCTAGTCAAAGGCAGTGGTCTATTTTCGGGTGAGATGAATGGCTCCTTAGACACCATTAGTTCTGTTTAGTTCTCCATAGATAATTAGCTCCATGGTTGACACATTTACTAAGGTGAATCCCACATTATCTCTACCTTTAATAGCAACTTCAAAGTTACAGCCTCTCCCAGGAATCTGGGGACAGGAAAATAGCCTTCCTTTCTTCCTTTGAAGATTCGGGTTCTTTATCTGAGGGGTTTTCAAATATACTATAATTTAAGATGCAAACTCAGAACAAAACTATTTGTCTTAAAAGTGAATAAGAAATAATTAGCTGGGTTTGTAAAAAAACAAGAGATAAGCCCAGATGTGCAGACAGGTTGAACAGGCTGGGCCCACAGGTGTTTGCCTTGGCCATGGAATAACTGTCAGCATTTCCATAACAAGGAGCGTGGGATATGCTGCTTCTTGTTGCCTGTTCCCAAGTGCATCACTGCAGACCTAGCACGGCTGTTGGGAAAACACTGTTTTCCAGTGCAGCCCACACGCCACAGTATCTAGCTGTTGTAAGATAGGTATAGCCCATGCTTTCTGAAGAGTTTCTCGGGATATGCATCTACTTTGATCAGAGATAGCTGATGGCTGCATGCTACCTTTTGGTTGCTCATCTCCATGCTTGCTTTCAGTGGTGTTTTCCCGTTTAGTAGCACACACTTAGTATGTGTTTCTGTTGTGAGTATTTTAAATAGTATTAAGGGGAGTAGCCTGGGAAGACTTATAGGGTTAATAAGGATAGAAGGGAGCTTTTCATGGCAAGGATGAGAGCTTCATATTCATCCCATATGAGCACGCCAGGCATGAGTGCAGCTCTTTTTGGTGGTGGTGTCAAGGCAATCATTCCTATCCAGTCGTGGAGAAAGAAGTACATAGAAGTGCTGCCCAGCCAGCCCTTAATGAATGCTTATAGGATAATGCAGTAGGTTTCCTTGCTGCTGTCTCTGAGTACATGTTTTATCCACATCTTCAGGCTCTGAGTTTGCTAATGGTTTAATAATGCTTAAGAAAAAACTTATTAATAAAGTGTCACATTATTAAACTGGAGATGAACAAGACTAAGAAGCAGATTTTAGCTTTTATTTAACTGAAGGTTTTTCATAACATTCCTCATGAAATGAGTGTTTGCTCATTTGTATTTGATTTTAGTTAACTTTCCTGCATCTCTGCAATTTTTCGAAAAGTGCCAAAGGCTTTTTTTCCCCTCTTGTATATTTAACTTACTTCAAAGCCAACACATGAGTTTCTGTAGGATATTACCTCCCTTGATCCAGTCGGTGATGTGTGGTGTACAAGTGCAGTATGTGCACGTGGACACCCTTGAAAGATTACTAGCATAGCATGCCAAGGGAGGGAGCAACAGGGATGTAATGAAGACTGTTTGGTGAGAAATAAACTATGATTTACAGATGAGCTTATCCGCAACCAGATTAATTGGCCATTCTAAAGGAAGAGTGAATTCTCATTTTAGAGGAGAAAGGGAGAATTCATAGCACTATGAGTGGCAGCAGTTGCTACCTCATGGTGACAACTAACAGTGGAAAGTACTGTCAGCTAAGGGTCCAACCCAATATATCTTGAAGGCCAAGGAACTGGGCAAAGGTGTCACATAATGTAGGAGAGCATAAGGCTCTTCAGCTGCACTTGTAGTTCTGCTGAAATCAGCCGAGAGTAAAATCTCGCATTGCCAATGGACTTGTGTACTTTACACCTTCACTGTAGTACATTTTCCAGCTGGCTTGTTGGCCCATAAATTCACCAAATTAAACTTCATCCCTGAATGGAAGCTGGGGCTTGCTGAAGATTTGAACCTAACATTATTCAGGAGAAATGTAAATGTAATTTTCAAAATGATCTTGCCACTTTGTGCATGTTCATTAGATGAAAACACGTTACTTAAAATAAATGTTCCTAAACTGAGGTGGAAAAAAACCCCCAACAACAGGAAGTGTTAGACCATCATTAAATTATCAACCATATATAGTATAATATAAAATGGATTCACATGTGCAAATCCAAGTTACATGAAATGTCAGTTAAATCAACCCTAATCTCCCAAATACATTTTTTTATTGCCTGATTGATGAGGACTGCTCTTAAGGTGATGGATAGTTTTCACTTTCACAAAGGACTGCTGATTCCTTTATATGTGTCCACTAAAAATACAGAAAATCTTTCAAAATGTCTGGCTCCGTTCTCTTTCAGGATCTAGCTGAAGTGAGCATAGGACACAATGTGGTCTGATATATTAATTGTGAAGATCAGATGTATAAACAGTACTGTACATTCAAAAAAAGACTAAAAGTAAAGCTACAGTAGATTTAAACTGTTTTATTTTCCAAAGGCAAAACTCTATATAACTTCTTTGTTTTCTTTCCTATAGCAAGTCCACATGCAACACCATCGACTCTTCATTTTCCAACATCACCCATTATTCAACAGCCTGGGCCATACTTCTCACACCCAGCAATCCGCTATCATCCTCAGGAGACTCTGAAAGAGTTTGTCCAACTTGTCTGCCCCGACGCTGGTCAGCAGGCTGGACAGGTGGGGTTCCTAAATGTAAGGAAGCCGTTTTTATTTCTTCAGAAGTGTTTGTCCTATGTAAAATTAACCACGGGATTATTTTAACAGCGTGTTGCATACAGGAACACACCTCGAATAGTCGTTGGAAGAGAAAAAAAATTGCTACTGCAAAAATATTTTAAAAAAACAACAAAAAGCCTCCCCAAAAAACCACTCGACCACATTGTGGTGAAATTAACTTAAACTGTCAGAGAAGCTGGTGATACAGTGACCTTTTGGGTCCCTCCACAAATGACTTTGCTGCATGCGTTGTAACCCTAGTGGAACTAGGGTTAACAAAATATGATGGCAGAATAATTTTTATTAATTATTTCTGAAGTTCAGGGGAGAGTGGGGGGGAAGGAGCAGGAAAAGGGAGGGTGAGAAACAGATGTTTCAGATCAGCTAAGTTCATTAAAAAAAAAAAAATACTGCCTTATAGCACTTTAGATCAAGTTGACCAGTACTTGAACTCAAGATGTTAAAAGTACAGTTTATTATGGTTTGTTATTTCTGTAAGCAGTTATCTTTTCCCCTTATCTCTATGAAAAATTAAGCAGAGTTCCAAAGCTTCAAATAACCATTTTCATTTTTTTTTAAATCAAATAAAGTGAATCATCTTGCTATTATTGAAATAGCATTCCGGTCAAATACAGAATTTATAAATTTTATGTAAATCAAATCTAAAATAATGCTCTGAATATTTCATGAAATGTAATGCGTGTAACTTTTTCCAGCCAATGAAGTAATAACTGGAAAAATTACTGTTTCTCTCCTGACATACATACGATTGAAAGTGTTAATGAGAATTAGTTTAATTATTAGCATCTAATTTATTACACTTATTTAATAAGCTATATTGTTCTCAGTGCTTTCCTTTCCCTAGCAGAAAAACTGACTCTACTTATTCCAGCCAGTACTGGCTTTGAATAATGTCTGCAATATGTTAGCAGATACATTTATGTCTAGACAACAAATCAATATAGTGCTTTTCTTTTTCCTTGAGTATTCATTTGCTTAATTTATCCCAACCCATTCAGCATTATGAACTGTTAGCACACTCACAATGAACATACAGCAGGGGTCTTCTTGGCAGGAAAGGCACCTAATTGTGAGACAAGATAGTGTTTGAGAGATATCACTAATATATTAGTTTATTAAAGGTACTGGGTCTTGGAAAAATAAATATCCCTGAAGGATTGCTTCTTGCTGCAAACACTAGTAACTGCAGTCTTTGAAGTCAGTGGGAGTGCTGTTAAGTTAAAGGCAGATGAGTATGAGTCTTATTTATGCCCTGAACCATTTTTGATCTAGCACAAGTGTTCACGACTTTAAGGCCTTTTGTCAGTGCCAAAGCAGGTGAAATGAAAATCAGGTCCCAAGCGTTTGCCAGTGTGAGTATTTTGTCCCCAGTAATTCAGGCTAATGGAAACCCTAAGAGGAATTAAAATATTATTTTCTTTAGCAGTACTTAGAATATGGATCTGTGTTTAAGGCTGAGCTTTTATCATCAATGGAAAAGCCAATGCTCAGTGCCAGAAGAACTGCAGTGAGATCAATTTGTAGAGTGCTGTCGAAACTGATCTCATCACTTGTGTCACTAAAATGGAACACCTGATTCACAGGCTGTCCTACTTTCTCTTTATAATGGTATTTGGCATCTATCTGTATGGTTTTCAAGTGTCCAGGCTGTGTAACATTTAAAATGTAAACTTAACAAGTTGGGGGAAGGGGTGGCATTTTTTTTTTAAGCCTGCTTCTTGCTTTTGTGATACTTGAAAACACTTTTACTTGTGGACGGGCTGTTCTAGTGATTAATTGAAAGACCACACTTGTATAGCTGGGCCCATTCTGCCTGTGACTGACCGCATCCCAGACTAAAGGGTGGGGTTGTTTTTTCCCGGTGTGTAAAATGAAGCAGTTCAGTCGTTTCTCCATATGATCCTAATGGCAACTAAACTGTGAGCTACGCTATTGCTAACTCAAAAGGGATGTGGGAGAGCAGTTACTTTAATATATACTCATTCATTTTCCTGTAATAAGATATCAGCAGACTTTTAAGACCACCAAAAATGATTGTTTTTTCTCTTAATGAGCAGTATCTTTAGGAAATTTACACTCAAGTCCTAGGCTCTGATATCCTAAGGGTGTAACAGAGGCACAAAACTGGGGGATTTAAGGGGTCAAAAATACTGCTTCAAGTCTCACTGAGCATGAGTTAGTGGCTGCAGGAAATTTAAAGAGTAGTCGAATTTAATCCAGGGCAGTTCAGACCAGCTGCTAATAGGACAAATGTTTAAAAGCGAGAATTTCCATAGTTTCACAGGGTTTAAGACAAAGTTCCTTGAAGTCAAGGGAGAATTTGATCCAGCACTTTCTTTGCCACCTCTCAAGTAATCGTAAATGTATTGCACATAGCATTCAACTAGATTGTTACTACTGGAGGTTCCCAATAGCTGATTTTTAGTATAATTTTTGTCTGTTTGCTTGTTTTTTGGCAGCCCAATGGTAGCAGCCAAGGCAAGGTGCACAATCCATTCCTTCCTACCCCAATGTTGCCACCACCACCTCCGCCACCGATGGCTAGGCCTGTGCCTCTGCCAGTGCCAGACACAAAACCTCCAACTACATCAACAGAAGGAGGGGCCACCTCTCCCACTTCTCCAAGTAAGTATAGACGCAGCGGGAAGCAAGGGCTAAGAGCAGCACGCAACGTGCTGCGATCACCGTCTATCGGCTGTTCAGAGAGGAGGACTGGACTAGCTCTCGGGAAGCAGGAGAGCTCTCCGCTCTGTTTAGGATGGACAAAATTCTGAGTTGCTTCTATATTAACAAGAAAAGAGTTAGCTTAAGGTTATAGTTTTATTTCTGACTTTGTTGGCATTTCGCATGACAACGTATGAGAGAAATCAAGGCCAGTAGCTAAGCTGTGACACAGACCTCAGACCTTTGGGATCTTGTTTACTGTCATGAGGAGGCAGGCTGGTATCTCAAGTCAGGCTTTAGAGGGTAGATTCCACATGGAAGTCAGATAGCCTCATTGAAAACAGTGCTGCTCGTACATACTGGGCTAAACTAACAACTCTTTCGAGTTTACTTCTTTTATAGTTCTTTCGGGAATAAGTCTTCCTAGATTAACCCAGACATCTTTCCCTTATGACTTGGTTCCCGAGCCCTGCATTTTGGGCAAGAAGCTATGGTATTTCTTAGGCCTAGGGAGAAAGCTTTAATCCTCTCTCCACCACCCACACGGCTCCCATATGTATTTTGCGTAGCCACAAGTCAAATATACAAATTCCTGGATACACACTTGGGGATACCACTTTGGACTCACTCTTCTGGGAAACAAATGCGATTCAGCTGGGTTTGATGCTTTAAAAAAGTCTGGATGTTCAGGGAGTTAATTGTGAAATGATTTAATGAAGCTATGCTCAAACTGACATTTAAAAACAAAAGGGAAGCTTTCAGTGCTTTAATGGCAACTGTAGGGGACTTGTTCCACAGTGAAGGAAGTCCAAATAACATCCACAAACAAAAATCAATCTAATCGAAAGAGCGAATCCCTTTGTGTGCTTTTCAAGCTTATTATTTAAATGCTATATGCAACCACTGCTTGATGTGCAAAGAGGTATTCACTGTTCAGACCATGTGAATCCTACCTTTTTAAAGCTTTATATACTGTTCAGGAGATTTGCACAGGTTCCAGGGGACATTTTTAAAATCTGGTAGTTCTCAAAGTTTTGCATTGCCTTCTGCTGCGCGATAGTGCACAACTGCAAACTCAGCAAGATGCTCTGGCTCGCTTCAAAATTGAAATGGGTTTTAGTATGAGACGGTCTGGTAAGATTGTGAACATGATCTTCTAGAATCAGGACTTCTAGAATTGATCAGCAGATTTTTGTTGAGCTAAGAAGTTGATTCATTCCCTCCCCTCCACTCCTCTTTCTGACCTTAGACCAACACTTGCGCTATCAGGAAGTTTTGATGCTTTCTGACAGGAGATACCGTCTTTTAAGTCCTATCAATAAGATTCAGCGGTGCAATCTAAAAGGTTAATGTTTAGTCATACTTATCACTGAATACAGTCAGCAATGCCTTACTATTTCCTTGTCTTCAGAACCGGGAAAAATGAAACTAGGTCAATGTATATTTGTCATTACAGGTGTGACTCAAGTTTACTGGCAGTGTGTGGTGTCTAAAAGAAAAAAATTCCCAACGTCATTTTAGCAGTAATCTTAATACTTCATTTTTATGGTACTGTGATCATGTAAACAAGCTAAATGCGTGTCTGGCCTTATTCTCAGCTGGCATAAAAACTGGCGTTTGTCCGCTGAAGTTCACAGAACACCACCCATCGGTTTCGGCTCGGGCTGGTCACTGTGGCTCAGTGTTCAGCAGACAGCTGCAACGTTAATTGGGAATCGAGGTTTTCTCAAGAGCAGCAAGTTAATGGTATTTAAACAAAAGATTAGGAAAATAATTACTGTTTGTTAATTAGCTACGCTGATGTCTAAACATATAGCTCTGTACATATTCAGGCATGCATCTTCCTTTTGGTAAGGGTTTTGCATAATAGTGACTTGAGTTGTAAAGAAGCATATAATTTAATTTAGGGACAAATTTTACAGAAAAGTAGATTATAGGAAACATTTTCTAAGAAAAAATATTACATATATACCAAAGCCAGTGGAAATGGCTGGCCACAGAAAGAGTAAAACAAACCAAAGTTCCTAGCCTTGCAGCGAGAGTTTACCAGAAGGGCCCACTGGACTCCATTTAGTGTGTCAATCAGTACCAACTCTCTATTTTCATCGGTGTTTATTTTTTCCTTAACTAAATATTAGCCTTCAAATAGCAAGTGCAGATTCACCAGAGTTTCATAAAAGCCGCACAAAAAGGTGTTTTCCATGGTTACGAACTGCTCGAGTGCACTGGTTCTGGGTGTCGCTAGGTTATGGCTGACTGCCCTGCAGAGCTTTAGGATATTGGAAAGTCACTTATGCAACAAAGGCAGGAATGATGTTAGATTTTGGCCAGACTCTCTCCTGAGCTGTGTGGAGGAGAATGAAGCCCCCCCCCCAAGGAAAAGGAGTGAAAGGAGTTGGCATTTGCTCCATTCTCCTTCCCTTTTTTGGTCTAGCAGAAAGCCCTCTGCAGAAACGAAACGCAGTTACGGCCCTACCAAAAATTGGAATATGGCCCTCCTGAGGGGTGCAGGAGCCAGGAGCAGCTGTTCAATACTGCGTGGCCTCCTGGGAATGAGAGCTAAAAATCACAACAAGGTGGTTAATGATTCTCAGAGCAATAGTGAAACTCTCCAGCTGTGACATTAACCAAAACATGAACATTAGTGCTGTCCAAGGAAGGAAGTGCCCCTGGAGATGCACACCGGGGATTTGCCGCTGCTGGGTGGGCAGGCATGCTCTGGGAGTTGAAAATTTCAGCTGCAAATCCTGTCCCTTTGGAAAGCCAGCGTTTTCCTCAGTGAGAAGACACAACGGAGATGGGATTCATGAGGTTTGGGAGGGTTCATTTTTCCTCCATAAAAAGCCTTTTCAATAGAACACATCCTTGATACCAGAAGCAGTCCCAAAATCATCTTATCTTAGATGTCTTCTCAGTTTGTTTGGTTGGTAACCCATAACAAACACAACACAGTATTTTCTTGAACTTGACAGTTTCTGGGTTTAATATCTCATTGCCCAAAGAAAATACCACCTCCACTACCTGCCAGTTGGACTTTATCACTATCTTGACTGAATCTGAGTGTTAGAATCTGTGGCCCCCATTCCGATGCAGAGTCTAAGATACTGCCATCCTGTACGCCATGATTTTTAAAGAGCGTATTTAAACTAAATGTTATTTTCTAAGGTTCACAACTCTACATGGGGAGAAACTTAGCTATTTTCCCTTGTTGGGCAAGGTCATTATCACTTAATGTCCCTTTGCACAAGGGAGTTTTCGTGTTAAACAGCATTTGTGTCAGGATGAGAATGATGATCTTGTGCCTATAGCACTGGGTTCATAATCAGATTGGATTTCTCTCCCTTTCTCGCTGTGCATTGACTGAGCACCCTCTGGGCAAGCCATTTTAGCTTTCTGTTCGCTCCTTTCCCCATCCATAAAAAAGAGGGTGATGACGGTATCATTTAATTTGGTAGAATTTGCAGTGCCCTCTCAGATACTCAGCTGCAGAATGCATGGTGGTAGGAATTGCTGTATTGCACTGCATTCCTCTGGTTAATTCTCTCTCTACAACTCCACAACGGCTAAACTGACTCCTAGTCCTTTGCGAAACAGTACAGCTCTTCATGTCCAGCACATGTACCTGTCGTCTTGCTCTGTAAAAGAGAGACCTAGTGGTACATTACCTTATCGTTCACCCAAATCATCTTTACCAACCAAAAGTTTATCCTTTTAATCCAGAACGATCTGATGAATGACACATTCCTATGCCTAATAGAAATTATTTCAGGAAAGTATATTTTAAATTAACATTCTCCTACTGTAGGCAACTTTAAAATACATGACATTCCCAAAACTGTTTGTTTGTCTTGTCTTTCATACAATTTCTTGCCATTTTGGCTAAATATCAAAGCTGTCTGTGTGAGCAAATGTTCTTTCTCTGCCAGCTCCTGTTTTGCTTGTTCCTGAAGTGAAGCATCATAGCAAATTTGTGGCATCACATTCATTTCCTTGGCTATGGGCTATGATGTTGCAAACAATCCTTAGTGAATTCCAGTAGCAGAAAGACTAGGCTGGGCAGGAAGATGTTTCTATGCAATCCCAACAGGTCAGCTATCAGCTAGCGTAAACTAGTGTAGATCTATGCAGTTCCCATGGAGGAAGGCTGATAAAGATTAGGAGAAGATCTGCCTAAGAGACCTGGCTTCTGTTCCTTTCCATGCTTTGGCTTTTCCCTTTCCTAAAAACGAGTTTGAAGACCCCACCATATATGCTTAGCCTATCTATGTATACTATAACATACTATGACCCAGCTTTAACCAGTGAGGGCAGTTTGCCCTATCCTTATCTCAGGACAGAGTGCAACTAGCATCTTGGGAGAGTCCAGTGTAAAGCCTGCTCTGCATATGTGTAGTTTTGGTACTCTTCACTTCTTGGCTCTAGCAATGTAGCTATATGACCTTAAGAAAATACCAGGCTGACATCCGAGTACTTTCAGAAAGCAAGTTAAACATAGTTTGGAGCATTACAGAAGAAAGGTACACATAGTAATTCACCCAGCAAGGTTTGAGGGGACTTTTGTGCATATTATACAGTTTTCAAATGCTTTCGAATTTTGGGTTGAACAGAGAAGCCATTTAAGACAGCGTTCTGATGGCTTCCCTTTGATTTTCTACCAAATATCACAGCAAAAGTATCTGCCAAGAGGGAACTGTAAACAAGATCTTGAGTTCCTTCCCTTTTGAGTGGAACTTACCTGCTCCAAGGGATTAAATGGCCTCTCTACTCAATTCTGCTTCCTTAAAAGTCAACTAGAAGAACCAAACAACAGATGTTTGATTTTTGAGCTTTAAGTTAATTTTCCCCACTGCAGAAGGAATTTTTAGTCTTGCACAACAAAGGCTTCAGTAGTTAGTCAAAAAAAAAAAAACCCAACCTCACTGTAAAACAGTACGGGAGAATCTTAATACATGGCACTAGCAATAGAGAGATACCCTTTGCAGATTTGTGGCTTCTTTGAATTATTAAGCAAATTAACATAGCAAAATGGCCAGGAGGTCATCTCACCAAATCTACTCAGTTCATTTCTTCCTTGATTTGCAGATATGAATAACAACCAGTGTACCTGTTCATACTCCAATATGCAAGCTGCACTGCAATTTGCAAAATCATCTCGGAAAGATAAATTAGTGCACTTAAAAATTCCTTTAAAACTTTGTGAAGGAAAGGTGTTCCTTGCAGGATTTTTGCAAGTACTAGCAAAGTGTTAGCTTTTTGGAGAGAAAGGCACACCTCACTGGAAATAACTGGGAAGAATTCATTCTTAGAAGACAGGAGTGCCTTATCTTCCCTCAGATCAGTAAGAAATGAAGATAGGCAGTTCCTGGGGTGATTTCAGGGGAATGCACTTTGAGAAAATGAAGCTTTTCTGATATAATTGTAAAAGTTAGGAGGCATCATGAGACGTTTGTGAGACTTGGGTAGAGAGGGAAGGGAAGGATGCAGTTCTGCACGCCCGTACACTTGGGAACTCCTTGCCAAAGGGCTTTGTGGGATGCAGAACCTTTGCATGCGTTCAAGGGCAGATTGGGCTATGATCAATGAGAAATCCTTTGCAGGCCATTAAATACAGGGAGTCCCTGAGCTGGAAATAGTCAGAGGGTGGGAAAGAATACGAGAAAGTAAATATGTGACCTGTTTTGACTCTTCCCTGTGTATCTGCTTATGGCCTCTGTAAGAGAGAGGACAGTGGATAAGGTGGAGCGTTGGTCTGATTCAGGACAGCCTTATACCAAAGGCTCCTCCGCTGTGATGCCTTTTCACCGAACATTTTGCCTTCACAAAGGCAACAGGCTTTCATCTACACAGACAACTTAGTGTCTTCTCCGACTCTTAACTCACTTTATTTTTCTGTAATGTTGAGGCCTGAACATTATATTTAGCCTGACTGGAATTTGGCAAGTAACTTTCCTTTTAAAATTGTTTTTTGTCTCTTCATTGGATAGTTAGATTGTCTGGGGATTTTATTCAGCAGAATGCATTCCCATAAATATATTTCAAATAGGCAGAATCACTGTTTGTATTAAGGCGTCTATTTAGGTTATTTGAATTTAGAACTGAACATGCAAAAAACTGAACAAGGGACAAGATTGCACGGGGGCTTTTCAAATGAGAGGAGGACTGAAAATGCATTGAAAGCTTTTGGATGTGAACGTACGTGGCATTGTGGACAGTTGCAGTGGAGAATATAATGCAACAATAAAATCATTAAAGTACTTCAAGTTTGGAAGTAATCTGGGTTCTTGGCTTGCATTGCATTTAATAGCTTTACATTTATGGGAGCCACTCCAGTTTTTAAAGGCAGCTTCAGCCTTCAGACTGATTGCACTTACCACCCCAGTGAAACTGCAACCCATTAATTTTTTACCGAAAGGATCTTCCTAGTTTGTCAAACACATCAAGTGAACATTTTAGAGAGTGCAGACCACAGCAGTATGAAACCCAAAACCTTATATCGAGAGAGAATGCTGGATTAGCATGAAGTAAGGGTCTGATTCTGTTAATAAGCGCTTTAGTAAATTCACTGCTATACGAAACTCCGTTAAAACCAGAGATACCACATATCCAGGTGAAAACAGTCAGGGACGCCTGGGCAATACCAGGACCTACAGAAGTCTCTTGTGCTGTCCCCGCAGGGAAGGGCTGGCAGCGGTTCTCCTCTGGGATGGAGAGCCGCCCAGTACCCCAGGCCCCTTCTCCCTGCGTGCCCGTCGTTGCCGTCCTGCCTCGCAAGGAGCAGCCCAGTCCCCTCCGTGTTTATATCCCCATCATTAAGACCAAGCCTTTCCAGTGTCTAAAACCAAACTCTCGCTCTCTAAAACGTTTGCACATTTCTATGTTAAACATCTGCTTAGGTGGCTCTGAGACAGTGTGTTTTGGTGTTGTTCGTGTGCAATCTAGTGCCGCTTCCTCAACGCATGTGTCCCTTCCCTTCACAGCCTACTCGACACCCAGCACCTCCCCCGCAAACCGATTCGTCAGTGTTGGACCACGGGATCCAAGCTTTGTAAATATCCCTCAACAGACTCAGGTGGGCCGCTTTCGACTTCTCTGTATGCCTGCAGCCTCTTCTTCTTCAGTGTACTCTAACGTGTCCCCGCGGAGCCAGCTGCATTGCCGCTGTCACTTCACCCACATGGTCTCAGTAACTACAGTGAAATGTCACTTGCAGTTTGTTTGTCTGTTGTGTTTTTTCGGGCTTACGTAGTAATAACGCTGCTTTCGTAACTGGAAAGATCTCTCTTGCTTTCTAGTGCGCAGGTTTTTTTCCTCTAGGACTGGGTTTTCAAAGACTTTTGCTCCAACCTGTTCCCTAGGCAGTGCATTTAATTGCATATGCAAAAGGAGCTCAGAGAGACCCATCAGGTAACAGTGCACCTTAGTCCCCCACCAGATACAGCGGGAGACTTCTCCAATGACTTCCATGTTGAAAAAATAGACTCGAATTCCTGGTTGGCCATTTGCATGGTGGGCTTTGAGCGAGCAGGAGATTTTGTAATTGCGAGCACATCTGTTTCCTTACACAAAGAGAAAAAAGTCCAGTTGAGGCAGGCCTGTAAAGCCAGGTTAACCGAATTCATAGTCCTGCTATGGTCAAATCAGAAGCTCAAGTAAACATTTGTGTTTCTTTAGGAGAAGGACGAGGTTTAAATGTGCTTTTTCCAAGCTGTATCAAATTCCCAGGGTCGATTAAGAAAATAGTTGTTGGCAGTTTTGTTAGCAGCTAATTTGAGCCAGATGTTGAAAAAATTAAGTCTGTGCTTAATATCACGTTGTCATGGGGGAGAAGGTATAAAAAAGTGAGCAGAACTAGTGCTTTAGGACAACTGTAGTTTGTAGTTTTAAGTGCCTGCTCGACTATGTTACAATTCTTTTAAAGGTCAACAGCAAGAAATATTTGTAATTTTGTTTTGAGCTGGTTGTGATGACTAAAAAGTAGTAATTCAAATAACTAGCAAACTGGGGAGTACTACTCTTAGGTCTTGTAAGTTCTTTCAAATGGTTTATACGCATCTGAATAATTAGTGTGCAGATTAATGGCCGTCAGATGCCACAGTCCAGCGTATGCATGAAGACAGACTCCTCATTGCGATGGCTTCAGCACCTACACTGTCAGTGAAACACCAGTCACTCATTACCGAAGATTTTCAGTTTACAGGGCTGCAACCAGATGCCTGTGAACACAATGTGTTTTCTTGCTATCTGTTCTTTGTGTACAATTTGTTAGGGGCTTTAGTTTATAGCTCTGTCGACAGCACAGGTTAAACTACGTTGAATCTCAAACCTTCACTGCATTAAACAGGGTCACAGAAAGTACACCAGCAGTGCAGAGCACAGTTTTAACCCATCAGGTTCTGATTTTTTTTTCATACCTTAACAAAACACAGCCTGCACCCCATTCTTCAGGCCTCTTCCTTTATTCAGTTCCTGCATGTGACAAGTTTTCATGTGTTTTCACATTTAAATCATATTTCTCCAGTTGTTTTGGTAACAACTGGAATACACAGAAATACAGTGAAGTTGGGAAACAGGAATGTTAAGGTATGCTGTTAAAGTCCTTAAGCATTCGGCCTTTTCCTTCATAGCTCGGGAAACTTGAAACCCTTTGGAGAATGCCACTTACCTTTTCCAGAAGACCTGAAAAACTACTAGTTGGTAAATTGATTATGTAGTAAGACACAATAGTATTAAGTCTCCAAAATATCCTAAACTTATTTGCATGCTGCAGCCTAGGTTTCCCAGGCAAGTTTGTTGACTGTAAACTTTTATCCTCCTTATTTATGACTTAAATCATTTTAAAGTGCTCTAGCCTTACTTTAAGTGCTTCGACGTAATGCAGCATAGTGAATAACAATGCTGTACAGTGAAAAACAATACTCAAGTACAGCTTTCAATTAAAGTCAAACATGCTGCAGTGGGTAAGGAGACTGACTGCCAGTCTCTGACTCCAGCTGCATCTCCGTCCTTCTATACATCATTACACCACCACAACCCACTTGATACCAAATATATAATTGATCAGCAAAACTCACTACTTATTCATGAAACAACTCTGAAGTTTTAAATCAGAGAAGTGAGGTAAAAATACTAACTGCAATGATTTGGGATTTACTTAGCGTTCCTCTAAACAGACATGCTTTTGTATGCTTTTTGCGGGGCATTAGTATATAGGACGATCACTTAGGATATTTTCAAAATGAAAATATAAAAACACATAGGACTGTGTTATTAAAAGCAGCTGGAGTGGCTGCTTTCCATCACGATTTTTATAGTACGTTCGGAGTCAGCCTAAGATATGGGTCCTGAGGACCACTAACTGCCAGGCCACACAGCTCCCTTAGACAAGAGGAAGCAGTGAACACTCAGAGCTTCTGAAAGTCAAGCTTAAATATAAGGGTTAAGCAACTCTTTACTGCTGGAACAACAAAATAAAAATGAAGACTATATCTGAGCATCTGCTTTTTTAAAACTACGGTCCAGCTACAAGCTATAAGAAAACAGTACGGTCAGCTTTTTGGTGGCCCTGATTTTCTCTTCCAATTGATGGGTCATTTGACTACAGGCAGTAGTTATACATCATCGTTATTAGTCTTAAAATGCTGCAAAAGTGAGTCTGTGCACAGGGATGTGACAGCGCCATTCAGAAGTCACATTTCCCATACATGGGCATTGAGAGGCTTTCACAGAACATTGGAATAAAATCACAGACAAATGTACAACAGCATGGCTGGGTTTGAGCAAGGATCATTCTGTCCCGGGCTGTTTTTAAACAACCAAAACCAGTACATGCCTTTCTTAATGGGCATTATAACAATTAGCAGGAGACATTTCCATTAGCAGCATGTTCTGATTTATGTCACATTGCTTCAAATATAATCCCTTAAAGGAATTTTATAGAATTTATATAATATTTTATTTAGAAAAAGGCTGTCTTCCTGTGTCAACAAAGGTTGTAGCAGGATGACACCTGCGTGATAGAAGAGACCAGGAAATAAACTGATTTAAGCCAGTAATTCTGATTCCCGTGACAGAAGCCCCAAAAGGGCTGTTGGCTTTGTCTGGTTTAGCAGCTTCAAAACTTTTCAGTTGGTTTGTTTTTTCATACACTGCCTCAGCTTACCCCATCCATCACTCTGCCACTCCTGTGGCTCACCGCATAATTGTTCTATCTGGGGCGTTATTTGAATCTAAATTTCTGTTTGAGCTATTAGAAGCAACACTTGACTTGGCATCCTCTGTATATGTTGACAAAAAGGCACAGGTGTTATAACCTTTGCTTGATAAATCATTTACTTTTGCTACTTAACTCGCAAGCAATATGGGGGCATCAGCTTTTTAACTGCCTTTTCCATATGCAAATCAGAAATACAGTATGCCTGGGGTATACAGGCTTTAGTTTCAAAAGCAAGCTGGTCTAGATACCTCATGACTAAGTAATAGATAATCTCTCGTATTGCCAAGGACTTGTAATAAAGAGAGTGGTAGAGGAATGGGAAAGTACCATCACATTAATTAGGGACTAGCCTATCAGCAGCAACAACACTAATAAAGAATAAAGGGTTCTAAGTTTTGGGGTTGGTTTTTTTCCTAACCAAGTGATAAAAGTAATTGTGAAACACAGGATAGGTGCTCAGAGTACATGCAGCTGGTTACACTGAACTAGCAACCTGCTCTTTGTGACCGGAGCTTGCGCCGTCACTCGCCGCTCTAAATGGCATTTGCTGATCTCTAATGCCCTCACCTTGCTCTATAGTACAAAATTCCTTTAAGGATCGTAAGTATTCAGTGTGCTGCAGCTCCGCCTTCACTAAACATTGTTTACTAGGCTGAGTCCTCTTTGCCACCTACTTACCCTACATCTTCTTGGAAATTGTACTTCGGGTGCTAAAAACAGCTGCTGAGCAACACATGCCTGCTCCATCTCATCGCTCCTACCTGCCAGTAGCCTGTGTGCCCTCACAGTGAGGTTACAAGGATGCGCAGAACAGAAACTGTCTCCCACTGCAGGCACCCCGGCCAAGGATCACCTGCTTTACCACCTGTGAGAAACTAAACGGTTTTCTTCTCTGCTTCAGAGAGAAAGTGTATCTTGCACCCTCTTGACTAGCTGTTTCAGGAAAAATTCCTCTCTAATGTAAACATGCTTTATATCAGATCCATCCCAGTTAGATTCTAAAACTCAGTTAAGTGCAAACCCAAATATTTATTCCCTTACCTTTCTGTAGGAAAAGATACAACTATTTTCTAGAAGAACAGAAGCAGAAGCTCTTCCTCCTTCTGCCTCTGCACGATCCCAAAGTTACAGTCAGATCATGGATAAGTAAGCCAAGGTCTTGTCTTTTCACGCTTTCCCCGGTGCAGCCCCGGCTACAACAGTGCTCTAGATACAGATCTTTTATAACGCAAAACAATTGAAACAAAAGGCCCGTAACCTACCTAGGACACCGCAATAAAATATAAGAAGAACCCAAAAAATCAAACAAGCTTATCTAGGCAGCAACACGACAAGTATGAAAACCAGCAAGCTCAGAAGCACAGCCGTGCTCTTGCTACCAACCTTACAAGGACCAGGTACAAAACTGCACGCCGTGAAACACCCGCATAAAAGAGTAATGCTGCCCTGTAGTGAGTTAGGAGGGGAGATTACTGAAGTTTAGCAGAATGTTTATAGTATAAGGAAATTGCTAACTTCTTTAGATCTGCTCCTGTTCTCTGCCCTTCCTGAATTAGACAGTGGTATCTTTGTAGCTTCTTCTTTTAGGCTTTTATTTATCTCTAAAAAAACCACCTTATGCCTCCGGTGCATACACAAACCTAATTGTACAATTACTTTCTTTTCGAGAGACAAGGGAAAGACTATTTTACTTCCCCACAATCCTTTTAGAAAGCAAACTGCAACCTGCAATTTTTCACTGGCAGCACTTTAAAACAAAGGGCATGAGAAAAAAAATGAGCTTTACGCTGTGTCCCGTAGGCTAGCAGATGTGAGCTCTGTCAGACAAGGGAGGGAGGCAAATTCCAGAGTAGATG